AAATATTATTAAGATGTACATTCTGTCAATATCAAATAATAAAACTCAATCCATTCGGCATATCTCTCACTGCCTTCCCCAAGCAGGTCAGAGCGTCTCCCGAATGGCCCTACATTTAAATTTCAAAATGAGCGTTAGCAAATATCATAAACCTCCCCCCAAACACTGTGGGTCTAAGAGGGGTCAGACCTTCGGAGGTTCCGAGTCTTCTTTGGCCTGGAACAGTTTGGCCAGAGGGCCACGCATGGCCGGGGGGCGGCTGCGGGCCGGCTGCGGGTTAAGAGGAGGCAGCGAAAAGGCCCCGCGAGGAAGCTGGGGTTTCTTCGGATCCTTCGAAGAAAGATAACAGAGTAAGGAGAGACATGCTGAAGCCAAGAACCGCACGGAAAGGACAGAGGGAAGGCCTAGACCAGGTTAAGGGCCGGGCCTCTAGAAAAGGGGCGCGGCAAAGGGCGGCACTCACCATGTCCAACCGTCTCCCGCTCCCGCTTGTGAGGTAGCCAATGTACGCTCCCTAACTGGGCATAGTTCCCGTCGTGCCACGCGCGCAGCCCCGCTCCCCATTGTGACGCGCTCGCCACCGCCGCTCACCATTGGCGTAGAGCTTGAATGGGCGGGACCAACCGACAAAGGCCCCGTCCAAGTCTAGGAGCTGCACTCCTGGCGCATCCGGGACCTCATCGGGCAGGGCCACGCCCCCTGCGTAGATTGGGTGAACCCGGGCCTAGCCAAGCAGGTCCCGGTCTTAAAGGAGCCTCCGCCTGTTCTTTGCTCACGCGGGCTGCAAGAAAAGGGTGGCGGCCAGCGACCGCAGCTCTGTAGGTGCCGGCTGCAGCCGTGCTGAAACTTTCAAGGGGGACGTTTACGGACAGGTAAGGGTCGCGACCTCTCCCTTGGAGGCTGCCTTGTGTTGGCGACTGGGCGGGAAGGCAAGAGGCTGGGTGGGGCGGTCCAGGTCCGGGCTTTATAGTCTGGCCTAACCAGCGGTTCTCAACCTGTGGGTCGCGACCCCTTTGGCGGTCGAACGACCCTTTCACAGGGGCCGCCTAAGACCATCCTGCATATCAGATATTTACAGGACGATTCATAACAGTAGAAACATTCAGTTATGAAGTAGCAACGAAAATAATTTTATGGGTGGGTCACAACATGAGGAACTGTATTTAAAGGGCCAGGAGATTGAGAACCACTGCCTAAGACTGAATTAGGGTCCGAGGGCCTCACACCTTATGTGTTGGAGTGCAGGTTATTCACGAGGAGACCCAAAGAAGGGAAGGGACTGCCGAGCATTGTCGCACAGGCTCGAACGACTGGGGCTTAGAAGCCGAATCCAGTTGAGGCTTTCTTTGAAGGTGTCCTCTTGAGAGTATCCCGCCCCCCGCCCCCCCCTTACACACACACACACACACACACACACCCAGACCAGGTTCCGAGTGAGAATCACTTCCCTGGCTAAAGCAGCCCAGGAAGGTGGTTGGGGGCCTGGGAATGGACTTGGGAATGAAGGAGATATGAGCGAGCATGAGAGGGAGAGGGCATCACAGTACACTTTTTGACACCCAGACACTTGAAGGCAGATAGGGAGGAGCATTCCAGGGGAGACATTCTCCTGAGTCAAGTCGCAGAGGAGTTTCAGAAGTGTGAGGCATGCTTGGAGGTGTATAAGGGGGCGGGTGTATGCAAAGGGAGCTGTAGCGGAGGAGCTGCAAGTGCGGGGTCCACCCTCCTCAACCAGCCCTGGGTTAAGAGCTCTAGGGCTCCACGTAGCTTTGAGCCCTTACCTGCTTCCCCTCTGGACATTGGGGCAGTATTTAGGGAGGCTGGGCCCAGAGCAAAAGTTTTTCAGACTGAGAAAGACCTGGGGTTTATTAGCATTCCTTAAATGAGAATGTTTACACACCTGTCCTTTGCCCTCTTCCGCTTTGAACATGAACTGGGTCCAGACCTTTTGGTCAGGTTATATATGATTCCTTTTTTTTTCTGTCCCCTTCACATTAACCAGCTTCTAAGTTCTACCCTTAAGTGCCATTTATTTCTTTTCTTCTTTTCCACCTCTGCTGCTCCACTCCCAATGTGGGCCTTCAGCATCAGCCTCCCAACTAGTCTAAGTCCAAGTTCTCACCTTGGTCTGCAAGGCCTGGCATGACACACCCCCTCCTCCCCCCAGCCCTGGGACACTGGCTTCCTTATTGGGCCTCAAAAGCACAGGCACACCCCTACCTTAGAACTTTTGCTACAACAGTCACTTCTGCCTGCTTGGTCCACTTCTCCCCCCCACCCCCCAGACTTTGCTTCGCTATTACCGTCTCAGTGAGCGACCCTAAGCTCCTTATTTAGCCCAGAAGTCCCCAGCACACCCAAGCCCCACATCTTGCTCTACTTTTTTCCCCACAGTGCTTATCACCTTCTAACCTACGGTACCTTTTACTTATTTATTTTGTCTTTATTGCCCATCCAGCAGAAGGTTAGCTCTTTGAAGGCAGGAACCTTTGTTCACTACCAGCACACCAGTACCTGCAACAGTGAGAGGGGACACATACTAGGTGCTCAATAAATCTTAGTTGAAAAACTGGTGAGTAATCCCCCTGTTTCCTGCTTCTTACCTGTTTAGTCTACCCGGTTCTATCAGGTTAATCTTCCCAGTGAACAGCTCTGGTCAGGTCACCCCCATACTTTTACACCTTCAGTGGTTCCCCTGGGTACAGAGTCAAGTCCAGACTCAGCCTAGCATCTGAGCCTCCTGCCCAGTTTTGCCCCTGCTAGTCTTTCTTATTTCGTGTCCCTCCACATCCTACTTCCCAGTCAATCTGTAGGTGGCAGACTGACAAGAAACAACTACACGTTCTGTCTGACTGTGCACCAGCTGTGTGACTTTAGGCAAGTCGCTTGACCTCTCTGAGTCTCAGTTTGTCCTCTGTTGAATGAGACCAGTACTGTCTCCCTGACTGGATACAGGTTTTCAGGCAATATTAGTTCTTTTCTCTGATTTGCTCTTATCATTCCACCTACCTAGCATGCCTGGCGCCTTAGACTTGGCTAAAATGCCTTCTCCATACCGCAGCCAGAGTGATCTTTTTTATCTTAACACTCACCCCGGCTTACAACTTCCAAGGGCTACCCCATTTCCTCAAGTAACTTCTTAACCTTGCATGCTCTCCATTTTGCTCCCAATCTTTTTATTATCTTTTACAATCCTAAGTCAAGGATGTGGTTTGTTTTGTTGTTGTTTTTTATTTGTTTGTTTTTAGAGAGAGGGGAAGGGGGACAGAGAGAGAGAGAGATCCTGCAGTTGCCTCCCATATGCTCCCCGACTGGGGATCGAACCCATAACCTTTTTGGTGCACAGGATGTTGCTCCAACCAACTGAGTCACCCAGCCAGGACTTTGCTCCCAATCTTGCTTCACACTCACCATGACATTTGTCATAATTGCCACAGCATGCTGGCTCTGTGCCATCACCTCATCATTCTCACCCTGAGCCATGGAATGTCTTTTAGGACACCCACCCCGTCCACTTGACTCACTCCTTCCGGCCTTGAGAGCTCAGCTCAGGGATTGCCTTCTGGACCAGGCTTCCTGCTCTGGGGTTACCCTCAGCAGAGCTCAAAGGCACTTCGGCAATGCTCTCCTAGGTCTGTCTCTCACACTAGGTGGTGGGCTCCTTCTTACGCAGGTTCTGCTTAGCAGTGGCCAGCATGTAGTGTCTTGTGAGGGAGAGAATGTAGGAACAAGTGAGCTGACACACCTGGGTGCTCTTTTACAAGCTGCAGCTCCCTTTTATCCCTGGGGCTTGTTTGGGCCCCACCACAGCTCCGGGGTCAGCAGGAGAGATTGGCTTCCCTACAGGTGAAGTCTCTTAGACCAGCCCCAGCAGCTCAGAGCAA